GTCAGAGCAAACCCAATGACTAAAGCTGTGAACAAATGGAAGAGTGGGTGTGAGGAAAATCAGGAAATGAAACAAAGTGAGGTTAATAAGGCAAGTGATGGAGTTACAGAAGATGTGTAGATAATATTATTGTTATTGCCACTTAGAGACTGGAGCATCAGGAGAGTAGTTTAATTTTAACTTTAAAGAAAATGGTGCAGTAGGAAGCAGAGGAGAGCAGAAAGAGAGGCTTGCCAAGGGTTAGTCAGCAGCAATGCAAAGCTAGCTAGGAATACAGGAGGGCAGATAAGCTGCAGTAGAATTGCTTAGCTGTAAGAAGGCAGAAATGGAAGACTGAGCTGGCTTGCAGGAGAGGAAGCTTGCTTGATGACACGGTTTCCGCCAGAGACACTTGGCACTGCAAAGGCAAGGATGGATGAAGCAAGCTGAAGGTAAGCTGGTGCTGTGGGTGTGACAGTTTATCATGAGAGACAGAAGCAAAGAAGTCAGTGGTGGATTAAAGTTGTGTGTGGTAAATGTATAGCTAATAAATTGCTGCTAAAGCACATACGTACTTCTGTGCTTAATGTCAAAATGCAAGTAAAGCTAAAGGATGTGCAAGCTGCATTTTTAATCAGTGCAACTAGTTTGTATTGCTTCTTTAGCTGTTCTTCACTCTTATTTTCATCATTCTGTTTTTCTACTGTTTTTCACCAGTCTACCAGCCATTCATTTATCCTCCATGTTGCAGTGTTGGAGTACAAAGCTCTGGAGTAGTTTTTTCTCCTTCAAAAGTTACTTACCTGTTGTTACTTGACTGCAAATGCACTTTAGCCACAGCCTGTCAGTGTTGTTATATTCCACGCCAGCTAAAAATAAGCGAGAGAACCAAGGCTGGTTAAACAGCTTAACAGATAAGATACAGCAGCAAAGCTATGCTCTAAGAAGTGATCAGAACTGTGATGGTTTCTTTCATTGTCAGTGTAATTTTACCCTTTTTTCTTTTAATCGTTTCTTTCCTTAAAAGCACACCCCTGGCCTGCAGATGTTAGGGAAGGTGCCTCAGGCCAGCATTTTAGTTACACAGACATTTTTTCAAGCACTATAAAGACAATAAAACCAAGATAACGATGCTAACACAGGGTTGCAAAGTCAGGTTTATGGAATCCGAGGCTTTAGAAGAACCCCTTGAGATCCTACTACTGTAAAAAGACGTGTCGTCGTTAGGGAACACAGGAGGGTATCTTCTCTTAACATGCGGGGCCACTTTAAACCCGCAAGGCTGCATTATTAAACCATCGTGGGACGCGAAGCCGGAGGAAGCCCGGTGTAATTGGCTGCAGCTCCAGATGCAGCCGCCCGCTCATTGGAGAGCAGAGGATTCTCCGAGCTACTAAAATTAGACAATCTCCGCCCTCCAGAAATGCTTCTGGAAACAGCGAGGAGCAGAAACCCCGACCCAGAGCGAGGGCCTGTGCTGGGGCAGAGGGCACAGGACCCTGCTCCCAGCCAAGCTGCAGCATCCAAAGGCACACAGAGGTTGGTTTCTTAGCTTGGTCAGCTGAATAAAGCATGCCCGCAATAAAGAAACTGCAGGAGATGAACGTTAGCAGTGTTTTACACGGATATTAAGTTCAGCATTTCTTATGTAATCACAATTCTGAAGCCTTCATCCAGGATGAGGAAGCCTTTGAATTAAAATCCAGGCTGTCAGAGTGGTGCTCATTGACTTTGAAATGAAACCATCTTCCTAAATGAACTCTGAACTGAACTAAAACAAAATGGTGAACTCTTTCCATCAGCCTTTCTGTTTAATACTTTTAAATGTTATCCATTATCTCTGTGGCCTTGCAGTGTTTATGTCTTCAGATTCCATACTGTACAAGGTATTCCTGTGAAAGAAACACCAAGTGCCTGTATCAGTGAACAAAGTCTGCATCTGAATTACTCCATCTTGTGCACTCAGGACCTTTATTTTGGTTTTTAAGGTATGTGAATAAAAACTTCAGCCTTTGCATTTCAAACATTTTCCAAACTGGAATATGTAAGGAAATAGTTTTTTCTATTTTTTTCCAAACTGGCTGCAAGGAAATAGTTTTGTTTCTCGTTTCTATTCTTACATTATTTACATTACTTGTGAAGAAGATAAAGGCAAAGTGGATTCTTCTTACACTATAAGCAGCATTTGCTGTTTCCTCTGCTAAGCAGGGTACAGTGTCAGCATCTGTGGCTCTTAAAGTGAGGGGGTTTTGGGGTTTTCTCCTTTACGTTCAGTCTGAGTTCAGTGAGAATTGAAACTGGTATACTTGTGTTTATTGGTGAACTTGTGTTTTATTGGTGAACTTGAGCTCAGAGGTGTCAGGAACCCTTTGGATCCCTCGACTTGTGATAAATGGGCACTAAGAAGGGATGAGGAGGAGCATGGCGCAGTTATCGGTGCCGCTGCACACCCGATAGCGCAGGGCCAGCTGGCCCGTGTTCAGCCCCGGCAAACAGAGAGGATGGCAGCGGGGCTGGGGATACCTGAGCACCCAGCCCTTGGGATTCCAGCCCACGGGCTCGGCTATGGCATGGATGAGCCCATTGGGTGTGTGAGGACTGCACTGTAATTGCTCCAAGGAGGAGCAGCCCTGCAGAGCTGGGGAAATAGGGAGTGTTCTGGGAGCAAACACTGGCACAATGGTGGTGGAGGCTGGTAAAGATCCACAGGAACCAAGCTTCCCCAGCTCCGTGGTTCATCTCATTATGGTTTAACCTGGAAAACAGTAACTGTTTCTTACTTATTATGTGTTTGGTTTTGTGGTGAGTAGCTCTGGATAAACACACGCACAGAGAAATCGATAAAAACCACTGAAAAACAACATTGGAGAGCTATAGATTCAGGTTAGCGTGTCTGGTGTGCCAGGAGGCTGCGTGCTGTATGCTGATCCCGCTGGTGTCAATCAGGCATGTAAACAGGAAACCTCAGGCATGCTCCTGCGATATATATTAATATTTAAATACCCCAAAGAAGGCCTTGTGTGCACTCCTTCAACACAAAGCACTACCTCAGTTTATGAACGTTTGCTGTGAGACTCCCTCAGCAGCCCTGTGAGGTAAAACCAACATAAAGCTTTGTCAAAATAGAGAAAAACAGCTTTTATAGCGCTCCCGCTGCTCCCTTCCTTATTCCCGTCTCCCACAGGGTGCCCATGACCACGTAGATGTGACCCTCAGTTATCTGCCCCAGGGCAGCAGCCTCCTGCTCTCAGCTGCCCAGCCGCCATCTTGGGTCCTCCCCCTGCCCAGCGCACAGCCGAGGGGCGCGGAGGCCATCTTGTGGCCGCTCCGGAGCCGGCCCCGCCGTCGCCTAGCAACGGCGGCAGAGCGAGAGGGTGCGAGGCATGGGCCCGGGTTAGGCCGGGCGGGGGGACCGAGCGGGCGGAGCTCCCTCAGGGCAGGCGGGGAAGAGGGAGCTGTTCCTTCGGGTCTCTGTTGCAGCCTGTGCCGGCGGGGTCTGTCGGCACCTTCAGCCCGGTTCGCAGGTAAAGGCAGCCCCGCGGTCCTGTGCTCCGCTCTGTATCCTTCCTCCCTGATGGAGGCTGCAGTCTGTTCAACCAGATTTGAAAGAGAATGGGGAGCCTCAAAAGTACAGGTACAGGAAAAGTCGCTTTAGATCTTTCTAAAAGATCTAAAAGAGAGGGTTAGCTGAGTAATTGCATCGGGTTCTGCAGCAGGGAGCCAGCGGCTGGCTGCGTACCGTGTCCTGTGGAGTGCGGGTGGGGAGAGATGGGAGGCTGGGAGCATGGAGGCAAAGGGACGAGGTGGGAGAGGAGGTCACAAGTGCTCACAGGTCCATAGGGAGCCCATCTGCGCTAGTTCTGCTGGTCACAGAACAACTCTGTGTTCTGATAGCTTCCTGATGGCCTCAGAAAACTGGATTTTGAGTCCATAAATACAGGAATTAAATAACAAGAAGTCCCCTGGGGCTTACAGATGGACTAGCTTTGGGGAGTACATCCCACACCACAACCTGCAGGCACGAGAACACAGATTTGGGGGTGGAACACACAGTTGGAGGATGGGGATGTGCGCAGCAAGGTGTGTGATGATGCTACACGGATTGACTCCACAAACTCGTTAGAGTTGTAAAGTAGGCATGCTTTATTCAGCGCTGAGGCGCATGGGGGTTGCTCCTCCAAAAGCATGTGTGCCCCTCTTTGCCACTCAGTTCGTTTATATTACATATCATGATTACCTAAACATGAGATTTTTCACGCCTAATACATATGCAAAACCTATTCCCGTCTACTATTATAATTGATTTTCTGGCATTCGTGCCATTGATGTGCTTGTGCAGTGCCTCCTGGTGGTGGTGGTTAGGGGGTCGTGAGGATGAAGGCCTGTAGTTCCTCTTCATCACCGCGAGTAACCTCTTGCCTTCACACGGACTCCATAGGGTTTCGGTTCCTATCCAAACCTCAGGGTCAGTACAAGCCAGTTTTATGTATCTTAAAGCAGAAACTTGTCAAGTTTGTAAATGGTGTTACTCTGGCTATCTTTTGTTCCTTTTCTTTCTATGGATATTATTTGAACAAGAGCATCTTAAATATTAAGCTATGAATCTTATCTACTACAATTCTGCCTGGCAGCTGTAACTCCTACAATTCTGCTTCACCATTCTAGCAACTTTGACTCCTACGGTTCTGCTTCACCAAGCACAGCGACTGCTTCAGCAAGCAGGCACAATGTTAACCCTTTATTTCCTGGTATCAATAACACTTCCGTATCTATCTCATGTATTGTCCTAGTGAAATGTTAGAGCAGTTTACATCTTATTTACGCTGACTATATAATATATATTATAACTATAATAACACTGAACTTTTGGCTTCTTTTCCACAAAGTGCTTCTGCACTGAGAAATGGGAGTGGGAACTATAGAGCTAACTAACCCAGAATAAACCTCACATGGCTTTTGTGGCGTGGGGGTGACCCTCTCTGCTCTTACACAGTGAAACTCCTGCCCTGGTGTCATTGCAGGGGGAAAGAGGCCGATGACGTCCAGTTTAGAAGCCGAGATGCAGATGTTAATGCCTGAACCTCAGGTTTTTGTGGAAAGAACTCTAGCTGTCATCAAACCAGATGTTGTTCATAAAGGAGAAGAAATAGAGGATGTCATTCTCAGGTCGGGGTTCATGATCCTTCAGGTAACAGGCTCTAGAGAAAATAACTGCACTTTGTAAGTCAGAACAATACTTTAGCAGCTAAGCAAGTGATTAAAAATGAACTTACATTTTTCACATCATCAGCTGTTGCTGCCAGATTCCATTTTACTGGCGCATGGAATGAGACAGACCAGACTGATGTGTTTGCTGACACGGAAAACACAGACTGTGTCAACAAACTCTGCTTTAGCGAACACACGCCGCAGTGATGCGGACTCCCTTCCGAAGCAGAGCGTATGGTGGGTTTGCAAGTGGGCCCTTGGGGCCCTGACGGATGTAACCGCCAGCCATGTGCGGTGTGACCACCGTGTGTCACTGTGCCGGTGGGCATGGCCTGTACGGCCTGCGCTGCCCGCTGCCAGCCAGGACGCGCTCCCCGCCGCGCTCGGGCACTGCCCGCCCGGGCCGGCCGCTGGAGGGCGCTGTGCCCCCGCTCCTGCCCCGGCCTCGCCCGTGACTGCCCACAGCAGCACCGTCTTTTTCCCCTTCCTTTTTCCCTTCTTTTTTCCCCTTCTTTTTTTCCCTTTCTTTTTTCCCTTCTTTTTTCCTTTTTTTTTCTTTTTCCTTTTCTTGCACCCGCTTTTCCCCATTTCCCCCCATTTTTTCTATTACTTCCTTTTCTTTCATTTTTTCCCATTTTTCTCCTTTTTCCCCCCTCCCTTTTCTTCCTTCCTTTTCCCCCTCCTTTTACCTCCCTCCTTCCCCCCCCTTTTCCTTTTTCTCCCTCCTTTTCCACGTTCCTTTCTTTTCCTTGGAAGTGCAGTATTTTTTCTTATTCTTGCAAATTCCCCTTTTCCATATTTGTTCTTTTTTAATTTCTTCCCTTTTTTATTTATACGAAACATAAGACAAGAAAAAGGAGATTTGTTTGTTGGTTTTTTTTTAATGACAAGGTGTTTATAGCATCTTCTGACATCTGCAGTGAATTTTGGCACCGAAGTCATTAGGAATCAGAATTCGTGGTGCTCTTGTGCTGCACCAGTTCAGGCTCACAGAATGCACTTCACAGTAATTCTCTTAATTCTCTCTTCTTGACTGCCCTGTGCCTTCTGATAACCTCCCAAACCTATCCTGGTCCTAATCCTGGCCACATGTGGGTAGGTAGCTATTGTGAGACTCAGAAAGCCTGAAAAATAGAACAATTGCATAAGTACCAGTGTGGGCAGAAGAGAAAATGGTTTAAAAGTAGAACATTACGCTGGAGCAGGCGAATAATTAAATCCTGCCCTTGTAATGCTCTTCCACTTTCTCTGTGCGGTGCCCTGACTGTGCTTTAAGTCATCCAACAGTTATAAAATGCTGTAGTTTGGGTAGGCTAAAAACACACCTTATTCAAACAGCCTATTTGTCTGCTTAATTAACTTGGAAAACTCTTGCTCTTTGTTACTCTGTGTCTCAGAGAGGATCAGATCTTGGAGAATCAAATTAGGCTGGGAAATGGCTCTGTGTCTGTTCTGCATTTGAAGATGTGACACAGTACAGGACTGTATCTGAGGTAGCAAGCTCTCTTCTTATAGCAAGCCTGTGTTAATTCTTTGTTTCTCTTTTCCACTTTCTAGAAACGGAAGCTGCAGTTAAGCCCGGAGCAATGTAGCAACTTTTATGCAGACCAATATGGAAAAATGTTTTTTCCTAATTTAACAGCCTATATGAGTTCTGGACCAATAGTCGCTATGGTTCTTGCCAGGTATCGTGCAGTCTCATACTGGAAAGAACTGCTTGGACCATCAAACAGCATAAGAGCTAAGATAACGCACCCTCACAGGTAACTCATGGATTGGCCTTAGGAAGCCAGCAGGATCTTGTAATTCTCTCAATTGAGGCTAGAATTCCTCTCCTTTTTGTTTTTATGTTAGACATACAGATTTGGGGTGACTTCAGACTCAAAGCTTTTCACCTTTGTTCTTTAGTATGCAAATTTCACCCATTTAATGGGGAATGCTGAGTGCATAAACATATTTTAGATAGCTAGTTATTTTGTTGAAAGCCAAGATCAAGCCAGTGCCTTGTTAATGAGTCCATATACATTGATTTTATATGCTCCTCGCAGGGATTTGCAGTTGCCTACCAAGCAGTTACTTTTCTTGTTCTTAGCTTGAGAGCAATCTATGGGACCGATGACCTGAGGAATGGGCTTCATGGCAGTCGCAGCATTTCCACAGCAGAAAGAGAAATCAGATTCATGTTTCCAGAAGGTAAAATGGTACAAATAATACGCTGCCAGTCTTTGGAGGATAGTGTCCTTCCCTGTTACAACTTCTCTCTGTCCAAACTCTAGATACAATTGGATTTAGAAGAGGTTGGGCTTGTTTGCTTTATGAGAATGTGTGAGTCTTTATGCACAAGCTTTTCTGCTAAGGAAAGGCATACCAAAACTTATCTGAAGAACCATTGTTGTTACAGGGATTGCTTCTGCTTTTCAAACTGTGGTCTGGGAAGTGGAGCAAAGCTGGTAAATGAGAGGAAAGGGGAAGGTCTTACACTCTAGCACATGCTTGTGGCATCCCCCCAGGGTTGTCTACTGGCTTGAGAAGACTGACTCTTCTTGGACTCAGGCTGAGTAATTCCTGTTCAACAGCAGCTGGATGCCCTCATGGTGCAGTTCCAAAGTTAATATGGAATTGCCAGAGAAATGTGTCATAAAACCTTAAAGGGCTGGGAGAGGATCTCTTGTTTGTAATGTAGGAGTTGAATGATGCCTTTTCTCTTGACAGAAAAAACTTGGGGTTTTGTCAAGTGTATAGGTTTAATGAAAGATGTTGCACTTCCCTACAAACCTTACCCATTATAAAGCATGTCTCTTCTCCTCACCCTAACAACAAAGCAGGACTCCAGGTAAGATTTTTAGGAGTCTTCAGAAGCCAGCTGCAAGAAGGAAGTACTAAACATGGGATATACTGTTTCTCTCCTGCCCCCAGTGCATCTTCAAGGATATAGGTTTTCCCCAGATGATCTGATTTCCTTCTCTTTCATAACTGGCTATAATTAGTAAGGTTACCTCAGGGACATTGTAAAGGGGTTTAGGTAGTTTCTTTGCAGTTTGTTGTGGGAGAAGCTATAAAAACCATTATGTATTATTAACTTATTAAGGAAAACAGAAACATGTATATAAACAACCTGTGGAAGAATGCCTTTTTTAATCACTCTACAAGCTGCTTCCCAACACCTGTTTGCTCATTACAGTGATTGTGGAGCCAGTTCCAACTGGACAGAGAGCCAGGGATTACTTGAACTTGTATGTAAAGCCCACATTACTAGCTGGGCTCACTGCACTGTGTAAAGAGAAGCCAGCAGACCCAATGGTATGTAGAATAAATCAGTGTTGTGCTGTATGCTTTTTGATACACCTACTTTGTGTTAAGGAAGTCCCTGTATATAGGAAAGCTACTCATTTGTGCTGTTTTAGCTACCTGTTAATGAGCTAATCAAATAGCATTTGCCTTTCAAGACATTGATTGGTTTGTTAACAGATGTAATGAGGGCCAGCAGTGAAAGAAATCAGCCTTATTAAGTGATGGGGAGAGGGGGTTTGGGTGGTTTCTGTAAAACTTGAATGTGCAGTTGTTACAGATGGCTGGAAAGGTAAGCATGTATATGATGTCATGTAGAAGTTTTTACTTCATTTACTGTTTCTGAGGTGAGTTTGAGTGAAATAACTCTCATATGGTAGATACTAAGTGAGATTAGATGCTAGTCACACTGGTAGTAGTTACACAGTTGAGTAAAAAACTATAGAGTTCTTAGCAAGGCTGTCTATATTGTGTCGTGCTTGTTTAATATTAATCCTTCATTTGAATAACCTATTATCTTGACTATTTATATATAACTATTATATGCAGTGTTGATAAGCATTCACTTGAGTTGCTCCACAGTTCCTCATGAAAATGAGTTATGATTCTTTGAAGTGAAACCCATCTCATGTAGTCAACCTGATGTGCAGAAAACTCCTCAGTCTTCTTGTGACCCCTCTGCAGTTATCAAGCTGATGCATCTTGCCCTTTTCTTGCATATTATTCCTTTTAACCATGGATGTCATTCAAATTACAGTTCTTAGTAGAAAGCCTAGAGTTAATTTCCTGTTGTTTTGGTGGTGTTTGGTGTTTTTATCAGTCCCTAAACAAAATTAGCTTTCTTTCATCTGGAAAAATATGGTAAATGTTTTTGTGTGTTCTTAAAGTTCAAGTCCTTCACACTTGTGCTTCTTTACAAATGTAGATAACTCATCAGTGTGACAACTTAGTGGCAGCTGTGGTGGATTCTAGTTCATTATCAGGTTTTTAATCAACATCACTTTTTTTACAAGATACATTTCAGAAGAAAAGCCTGAAAAATAATTCAGAGTTGTTTCTGTGTGATATACACGAGGTCAGATTAAATGTACTTTGATTGTTCCAGCTTTATAACCTGTTCACTTGATCTGGATGTCTGGCGCTGTTACCGTAGAAATCTAGAAAGCAGAGATGAAGGAGTCTTTTCATCCATCCCTTTGCCCAAAGGCCACACCAATTGTAGCTGAATTTGGGGTGATTCTTTTTGTTTTTACCACCAAATAGCCTTTCTAAGGGCTTTTGGGTTTTTCTGTTTGTGTTTGGTGATAAAAGGAGAGCACTGCTTACCTTACTGGTCTACTGCCCTATCAGTTCTTCCACTTCACAGTAAGCTATGAAGTAGCATTCCAGAAACTAATAATCAACAGCCTTGTGAAGTAAATAAGGACGTGTTAAAAACATCTCTTTACAAGTGGAGAAATGGAGGTAAAAGGTTATTTTGCCTAAGGCCAGGAGTGGCAGATGAAATTAGGCCATTCTTCCCTTGCTCATTCCTATGTAAGTACAATGTGCTGGAACACTTAAAAGATGAATTTCAAGAAGTAACCATGTTTGGGGTTAATGTTTTAGTACTATAAGGTGATTTCAGTGCAAAAGGCTGTCACTTTTAATTAATTAATTCTTAGCTAAAGTATCTCTAAGTGTTACCATGAGTCGTATTTCATTAAGCAGTTTCATGCCTATTGTACAGCCTCAGTCCAAAATAGAGCTGGCCAGGTTATTTGAAGTGTGGATCACATGTTCTTATACATACACAAAGATAGACATTGCCAGAAGTTTTCTAAAGGTCAGTGTGAATAGTTCAAAAGCAACATAAGCTGTGAGGATTTAAAAGAACCCTTTGAAAAAAACCAGGTTATTTTGTGTGTCCATTTTTGCTGAAAAATCTCAGTTTCACAGCATGGCAGGAGAGTTTCTGGATCAGGTTTCAAATAATGCTTTTAATATTCTCCCATACCCTTAACAGAAAACAACAGAACACTGAAAGTGCTTGGGGTTTTGTTCCACAGATCTGGCTTGCTGACTGGCTTATTGAACACAATCCTAACAAACCCAGGCTACAGCATCATGGCACTGAGAAGCAGCATCAGGGGTGAGAGCTCAGTGGAAACCACCTTAAGCATTCCAAGTTCCAGATCTATGTTATAATTTTCAGTGTACCCCTTGGCTATGTAATCAATATTATCTGAAGTTAATGTTACTGTCATAACTACTCATGTCTCTATGGAATAAATAACCTTGCGCTTAACCAGGGTGTAACAGTTGTAGTTTCTTTTCTATTGACAAAGTGAATGTAGAATCACAGGATACATTTATGGTTTGAGGTGATTAGAACAAGAGGAGTATCTCAATAGGTGTGACTTAGCTGCTATTCTCCCCATTTATCTTGGCTTGGCTGTTTGGGGAGAACAAAATCACTCGCACCAGTGCAGATTCCCAAATTACATAGAGCTGGCCCATGCTTTGGGAAACTGGGAGTTGTGTTTGGCATTGTTTTAGCAGACACCAATTCCATGATGAAGGGAGGTATTGGATGTGACTTAGAAAACAATTACTGGAGGTGTATTAACAGCTTTAGTATCTTAATTGCTGATTGCACCACCCAGCTAAGGTCACTCTTGAAGGGGATTCACTTGAGCCTCGTGTATTTTGTCAGAATGTAATTTGAAGGTCCACTGAATGTACCTTTCCCATCTTGGTGGCAAAAGGCATAGTGATTATAAATCAGTCTTTGATTTCCATCTGAAGCCACAAAAAGGTGTATTTTAGTCAAGGACTAATGCTGTCTTCCAATATTTGTGTGAAAGAAAGGTGCTTAATTGGAACATCTCACCTGAAGGGTGCTTTTTGCTCTTTAAAGGTATGCTGATTCCTGTTGTGTTCCTTGTATTGTTCACACGCTTGAACTTTAATGTGGTCTGTTTTAAGAATGTCAAGGAAATGGGTTAGGGGCCATGCTGTTGAACAGCAATGGGTTAATCCCACACTATTACCTTTTCTGAAGTAACTGGACTGTGTTTTGGGGGAAGGTTTGTAGAGCTTTAATTTTCGCTGTTAACTTCAAGCTTTGTATCTTATGGTTTGGTTGGGAGAGAATGTCATTTTCACAGCTCTGAAGCATGAAACATCAGTGTGCTTGGTTAATACCAAACAGGCACTTCCAGAATTTGTTTCATCAAAAACTTCCTCCCTCAGCTTATGGAATTATCAGAAACATGAGTCATTTGTAATATTAAACTGTGTTTAATTGCTTATCCTCTCAGTGGAATAAACCACTATTGCCGGCCCAGAGAATAAACCTCAGAAAACTGGTCCCTACAGTACCGAGCCCTAACAAGGAGAAAGAAAGCCCAAGCCCTCAGATACAATGAAAAGTGTGAGGTGATTAGAAATACACTGAACAGATCTGTTTAGGAGTAATTTGCCTATAACTATTGCCCCTATATGTATCTGACTGCCCCAATTCCAGGGCAGTTGCACTTTGTGGTTTCCTTCAGCCAAACTAAGACATTTATTTCTTTTTTGAAGATTCAGAAACTAAAATCTGTTGAATTCACAAGGCACTCTCCTGTACTTTGTTAGTTACTATGGCATTTGCTTTCTTATTCTGATAACAAAAAATAACAATAAATGCTTAACAATATCTCCTTTATGCTACTGGTGGAGTTTTCAGTTTTGCTTTTGTGACAGTCCTGTGGGGTATTGTATTGGTAGAAGATCATAACTTCCACAGAGAGTATGTGTCCTTACCAGGAGAGGTAGGAGAAAGGGAAAAGCAGCTGATGTTGCAGCTTTATAACCCTCACAATATAAAGTTTCAGTCATTCAAGTGTATGTCTGTCATCAATTTGATCAATATTAGAGGTGACACCTTCAGTTGCTGACTGGTGTTCACTTCCATTTTTCCAAGGGAAAGGTAGAAAAAGAGAAGATCTCTTCATCCCCCGGGTGCCATCCAGACTCCCTGTCTCTGTACATTAGACAAGTATTGATTCATCAAATCTCACAACTGAGATCTGAGGAGCCTGCATTAATAAGTAGGATGTGGCAGGTCAGTGCTGGGGATGTAGAGTGGACACCAGCCTGGTCCCCTGGGGGTGCTGTGGCACCACTGGAGAGGCTGGTGAAGGATGTGCTGCTTACACTCCTTTTGGTCTTTAGGTTTTTATTTGGTCCAGAGTGGTATGAACTTGGCTGGTGTTGTAAATCCATATCACAGAAAACACAGCTTTCAGTTCATCTGTTTTCCCAGAGCTGTCTTACTATTTGGTGTGTCAGCAAGGTAAGCTGCTGCCTGTGGGAACGAGTGACCTGTCTTCTCCCTCTGTCGAGTCAAAATAATTCCCTTGCTGTTGAGTTTTATTGGGTATTTTTAACTTGGAGGCAGTTCATTTTGGTTTTACTGCCTGAGTGCTGAGATAGAGCTATGTCCATAAAACCAGCGGCTCGGTCTGTTTCCCATAATACTGTTTTTCTCCTGGAACTTTGCTTGTTGTATGCTTGCTATTACCTGCACTGGGAGTTAACTCTTGGAGCTACACAGATGGAGCTAGTCTGAAGTATGATTGTCCAGCCTTCCTGTCTCATAAGGGATTTATTATCTTTAAGAGAAGTTAAACCGACAGGAACTTCGAATATAAAGATGGCAGAAAGCTCAATTAAAGCCATTTCCCCATTGTCAACATTAAGTCAGAGCATTCAAGCATGCCAAGCTTCAGGAATGAGTCGCTGTTCAGAGCTTAGGACTTTCATTCAGCAACTTTTAAGTAGAAAAAGTGTTCCATGAGGGTTTGCAAATCCTCATCTTTCTCATGTAAGAAAAGAGAGGATTTGTCTGTCTTCCTTCAAGCTATTAATATTGACCATCCTTTAAACAACAGTTACCTAACCAAATTGGTCCATTGGTGATGAACTGATGGACGTTTGTCTCATGGCACTGCGTGAGGGGAAGGAGTAACTAAAACTCTCTTTTTCAGTGCTGCATTGTAGTGATAGATTCTACAGAGACACAAGGGTCATGTTAATGATGAATTCATCAAGTCGGAGCAGTCAGATGAAATAACTTGTGTTACTCTGGACAGAATATGTTGCTTGGTGTTGGTGCTACCCAACAGCAGGGGATCCTGTGAAACTGCTGTGGTTTTCCAAATTTCTTTCTAAAAAGAATGTGAAGAGTAATTATTGTGTTGGAAAGAGGCTCTTTACACATCATAAAAAGGTAACATGCAATTGCTTTTACATTACCCTTTCCTTTTAGATGGCAGTGAGTGGATTTGTTCCTGGATTAGAAATAGGTCTTCAGTCCTCTCTGCTGATTACCTTCTGCTTTGCTTTACTCTAGGAGACTGAGCTCAGACCAGCGTGGCAATGTCACAAGGGCTTTCACAGAAAGCACGTACTTTCTTGTTCTGCTGTTACTGAAATAGAGAAACTTGGTATCTTTTGGATGGTAAATCAAGAGCAGCTGCCTGTACCTAGAAATCGCACACAGTCTGGATGAGCTCCTCTGGGTGTGGAGTGTGTCAGCAGCATGACTGATGTGTTGAGTCCCCATGGGAGGATGCCTGTCAAATGATTGTTATGCTGCCTCCTGCCAGGGCATCATGGAGGAGATGCCATAAACTCAGGGGAGAGCCTATTATTGGTCCTCTGAGTCAGAAGCCAGGCATTGTTGTGAGGCAAAGCAGTTGGTGGGAGAAGAAGGCAGCTCCCAGACAAGTGAGTGAATGATACTGTAATAAAGATAACACTGAAGGATTAAGAATTCAATTTACTGCATGTGTTTTACAGCCAAGGGAGGCGACGCTTTCACACAAAGTACTTCATGTAGTGCCTTGCTGGGTGCTTGCATTTGTCTTGTGTGGCATCATATGTCCCCTGAGACACCTGATTCATTCTTCTGAGGCACCATTGTTTAAAAAGTAAGACACTGGTACAACAGCTGTAACTTTTTTGCCATCTTTATTTAAGACTTTATTTAAGTCTTCTCACCTGGCATCTCTGAGCCAGCCTGGATGGATCTTATATGTTGTTAGAGAGAATGGCAGGAGGCAGTTGGGTGCAGTCTGTCAGAGAAATCGCATATGAACTCACCCTAAATCCAGGGAATTTTTATATGCAAGAGCCTAATTTGGCTCAAAATACTCTTGGCTTTAGTAAAGTACTCTGAAACCACCCATGCTTCTTTATCATCTATTTAGAGTTGACACCTAAGCTCTCATTTCCTTGCAATGGGACGGCTGGTTTTCTGTTACATTCCCAGAATCCATGCTGATTGTCAGGGTAAGGAATTCTGCACTTCCAAAAGCAACATCTTATTGCCATGCTGGCTGTCGGTTCTTATCTCTTTTAGGGGTTGTAAAGTCTTTCCTTACTGGGTGGCATTCCTGCTGCAGTGTGAATGGCAGCAATGTCTTGTACCAGTTAGTTTTGTGTCAGGCCTCATCCCTCCATGTGAGAAAATTCCCAGCAGCATTTAACGCACGCGTGCGGATAAACCTCCTGCGTGCCCCATAAAGTACTTTACTATGGGCAGTATAAAGCAGTCATTACAGGGCGATGTTTAAACTTCTGAGATTAACACAGTCTCTCAATTGCACTTACTTGTTTTTATAATGTGTAATTTAGCAGCTGAACCATGGAGAGTTCTGGCGTAGCAGCGTCTTCTTAGAAACAGTGCTTCCAACGGGGCCTTCAGCTTGCTTCGTTGTAAATTCAGAGCCATTTCATTCTCTGGTTAAAAGAAAGAAGGGAAACCAGACCACTTCTGGGAGCTGCACACATGGTATGTTATAGAGTCTGAAATGTATTGTTGGATGTTGGCATGGCACATTCTCTGCTCCTGTTGAAAGCAAAGAGTTTGTGTCAGATTTCTTTGGGCCAATCCTATGTTCTGCATGGAGAGCACTTTGTTACTTGTCATTTTCTAAGGCAGGTGCAATGGTATTTTTTGCCTGAATAAGAAAAGTTTGATCAAGCCTCTGTTTGAAAAACAGATGCTTTATTCTGTGGCCACCACCCATCCAGATAGCCCTGGGATCATTCCCTCCTGCTTTCTACTTCCAACTAAACTATCCCAGGAGGCTGTTTCAGAATCCTGCTATTTCTTCAGGGGTCTTCCATGTAAATATACTGCATTGACCAGCAAAGTTTTGACCGTGACTGTCTTTGTTTTGCAAAGTTCTCTTGTAAACAGGCACCACGCTGGCTGCCCTGAATAGCACCATCGGTGCAACTGAATGGGAGCCA